AGCACTGCAACAGAATCTGCGCTTCAAACATCGGAAGAAGTAGCCATGAAATAAGATGCATGAAGGCAACCTTGAGACTTAAGCTAAATTGACCTTCTGCATAAACGAAAAGAGCCATACCTAGCTGAAGGCACACCGTTTGCGCCATTGATATCTTTCTGGGCTACGGAATAAATGAATGGTTCTGATTCGAATACGTAACGGGGCGTTCTGAACTTAGGTTGTTATGAGAAGTGTTTAAGTTTTTCCACCCGTTTGTCTCCATCCTATCGCAGATGGATGTTAAATTCGAAGAAATGTTGAACAGAACGTAACAACCTAATGGATGATGGACACTTTGTACGACCAGCACCAGATCAAAGATAATGTTGCCGTGCATTTTGAACCTTCATGCAGAATCAAGCAACAGGAGTTTGCATATTTCGTAGCATATATGTCACTTCATATCTTATTTTACTTTTAGAATCAGAAAATAGAATCGAAAAGTCGGTATAAATGAAAGAGTTATGCTTGTTCGTTTTTTTTTTTACAGCCCACCCAAAAAACAAAACAAACCAAAAAACAAGAAACACAACAACGAAACAAAAATAAAAAACAGCGCGTTTTCAATAAACCTATTATGCAGTGACAATGACTTGCAAATGATTTTTGTTTTGATCTTTTTAATACATATTTTTTTGTTTATATGTATGTGTGTATGTATGTGTGTATGTATGTATGTATGTATGTATGTATGTATGTATGTATGTATGTATGTATGTATCTAAGTATGTATGTATGTATTATACATAATGTCGTTTACGCATATGTTTGTTTGTGGATCGGTCTGGCGCCTTAACACATCGAAACCCTCTTGAGATCTTTAACTCTTTAAGGATGTACTGGGTACATTTTTTTTTTAGATCATCGGCTCACCAAAGACATGATTGCAGCACATGCAACCGTTGTACATACACAATTTAAAACACGAATTATCATATCTCATAGCATGCACTTTGTTTCCTGCTTTTTCGAGTTTCAGATAAAGAGAAAAAAAAATTATGAATAACAGTCATAATATACAACTTAAAACCACAAATTTTGCAAATTTCATATGACATATTATCATACAATGCTGTTGCTTGTCTCTTTAAGTTTTTGATAAAGAAAACAGAATTGAAAAATCTGACGGAATAATGAACTTCAGGCGTTTTCGAATGGCTAGAAAGCAGGTCTTTAATGAGTTAAGAACAACTTCGGACTTCCTCCCCACCATACGGCGCTTAAACGACCAAATTGTTGCAAGAGTGTCCTAAAGTACATACCCAAACTATCACTGTGAAAACAATTTCAGTGAGCATGGCAATGGACATTTTGAGCATTAGAGGGTTTGAAGGTCACACAGGGTCGACTGACATTGAATCGGGAAAAGGTGTAAAAACTTTACTAGATTTTTTTGCTGGTTCAGCAAAATCCGCATATTTTCACATTAAAGTATACGTTCATTAAAAGTGGTAGGCATTGTGTTCCAAAGAGAAACGTTTATATTCTTTTTACTATTTTTGGATTTAGAGCAAAAAGAAAAGATCTAACTTTTAGACAACAACACTCCCTTTAAAAAAAAAAAAAAAGAAAACCACCTCAAAGAAATTACCATGTTCCCTTGTGTGTGATATACGGCCCACAATATCATAATACAAACTCTGCTAATAATACGTTTTACACCATCAGTTCTCACATGACGCATACATACGATCTAGAAAGGTATAACATGGCCCGCACCATAGACATATCGTATAGTAATACCCTAAACCATGCACTCCGGCGTATTTCCAGGTTCTCTATGTAGTGCACCATTTCTCTACCCTAGAATTACAAAGTTCTTTAAGCTCAGTACCTACTTTTGAGAAGTTTGGAGTTTCGCAAAATTATGTCAAGATTTTTCGAACGTAATTCTATGAATATCTCGATAACCACTCTGAATTATCTTACGATTTTAATAGAGCAGATATAACATTAAATTCATTTTCTGGCCTTGTGGTCTTAATAGCTGAAAATGTCCAAACATGCATGTAAAACATTATTATTTCTAATGTAACATTTGCCTCAATTTGAGTCAAATAACGTGCAAAGGGGGAAAGGATGTCACAAACGCTTCACTAGCCCCCGGGGCAGTGCCACTGATTGTAGTGTCTTCAGGCCATT